AACAAAAAACAACTTGAAAAACCACTGTTGCCTTTGCCAGCAGAAGGGTGGCCCAGCAGTAGGGTGACCCGCTGTTCCAGTTTGTCCAGGACTGAGGGGTTTCCTGGAGCACAGGACCTTTGGGGCTAAAACCTAGAGAGGCCTGGGCCAGCCAGGACAAGCGGGTTGCCCCGAGGGGCAGGGCAGCAGCAAGTGCTGTCTGGATGAAGAGCAAGGCCTGCCTGGCCAAGTGAAGGATGCCGTGCAAATGTTCCTGGTCATTACTTCTAGGGGGGACTTCACAGGCCTGCACGAATAGGTGTTTCTCTCTCCGCTTTTTCTCCCTTTATCCCAGACACACACACCAAAGCTCAACACACTTGTGGATCAGTGTCACTTCAGCAGGGAGCTTCCTGCCTGATCCTTGGGCTGCTAATTCTGGGCCTCAGCTTTGGCCACTCCTTCTTCTTTGTGGCCTGTCCAGCCTCCCTCTGCTCCCACCTGGGAATTCTACCTGGGAATTCCCTCATGTCTTCCTAAATCTGCCCTCACTGCCCCTTTTGGAATTATATATCCCCTTCCCAACAGCACCTCTTTATCCCCCAGGTCTGGCTGGCACTCACAGGCTGCTCTTCATCAGAATGCGTCCACAGGATGATTATAGCAATGGATACCTGTCTAGTTTTCAAAAGTACTTCTCACTTTCAGGAACCCTCAAGTCAACCCCATGGGGTGGGTGTAGCCTATGCACCTATTTTACAAAGGAAGAAACTGAGGCTTTGGTTAACCAGCTCTCTTAAAATCATGAGGAGGAAAGAGCCGGGCTAGCACGCCAACATAGGCTCAAGGAAGGCTCGTGGAATCGGCCTCTTATGCCAAGCACTTGGTCTTTCATGACCTGGGCCCTGCTGATGTGGACAAGTCCCTGTGTGACTCTGTATCCCTCAGGGTGCCCAGCGCAGGGTTGGACATAGAACAGGTGCCTGGCAAATGCTCACCAGATAAATGAGAGGCCCTTGTGAGTGGCAAGAATACAAAGGACATCAGATGAGCAATGGGACAAGGACTGGTGCATGCCTTGAGCCAGTGAATCCAGAGAGATGGCAGGAAGGGACACTCCTGTGAACACCTTCTGCAAATGACAGTCCACTGGACCATGAACTCCATGAGGGCAGGCGCTGTCTGCTGCCCACTGCATACCCCACACTTGGAGCTCAGTGCACACCTGTTGAGTGACAGCTGAGGCTCTACAGCATTGAAGCCCTGTGCCCTCTGGGAGACACGAATTCCTTCAGGGTTATATAGCAGGCACTTGTTTTTTGCTGTTGTTGTTCGTTTGTTTTTTTGTTTTTGTTTTTGTTTTGAGGCGGAGTTACGCTCTTATTGCCCAGGTTGGAGTGCAATGGCGCGATCTCGGCTCACTGCAACCTCTACCTCCGTATTTTATGATTTTGGCAGAAGTTGTAGATGTGGCCGTAGCTCTGACATTTATTGGGCACTACTTGTGTGCAGGGCTCTGGGCTGAGCTCAAGGAGGACCAAGAGAATGAATAAATCATATTCTCCACCACTGGTCTAATCCACCTTACATGCCTGAGGCACTCCATGGCTATGGTAGACATCCCCTGCCCTCCTGGCCTGGTAGCCATGTTCTTATTTTTGGGTTATAGCCCTTCTATTCGGATTTTCCTGTGGGAAACCACCTCTCCCTGAGCCTCTATCCACACATCCCAACTCCAGGGGTGGTCACATGGCCTGGTCCTGACCAACCAGCATATTCTATCCCACAAGCCACCATGATTGGTCCACCGGTGGGCACATGACCCAAGCTAGTCCGGCGAAAGTCAGCCTCAGGGCTTCCCTTGGACTACTGGGAAACAGAAGGTCTCTTCCTAGGGAGATTACTGACTGTAAGGATGATGGAATGCTGGAGCCTGGAGCTACAGGAACTGAGCCAGCCTGAGAGAAAAGGCAACCCAGGAGAAATCAGGAGAGAGCGATAGAGACAGAGACAGAAATCTAACACCATCATCATTTGAGACCATGGATTCAGCAGACCTGCTGACTGGATATCCTGATACATGAGCCCACAAGCTAACGTCTTTCTCCCTAGTTTTTGTATTGCTTAAACCACTTCAAGATGTGTTTTTGCTACTTGAAACTGAAAAAGTCCTGCCATACAGAGCTCTCCTCTCTTACTCTCCTCTCCCAAGGAGCACCTTCAGTCCCAAAATTCAGCATGAGTTCTCTCCTCTCTACCCAACCAAGCACTCTCCTCTAGCCTCCTCCCATCTCCGTAGCCCCAGCCTGGTTTCAGGCCCTCTTCGATGGTCTGGGGTCTGAATGATCTCAAGAGACCCCCACCTGACTCCAGTCCGCCAGCTCAACCCCAATCCACTCCAATCCAACCCACATTGTCAAAACAGCTTATCTTTCTGAAACAGACAATATAGGCTCATGTCACTTCCCCACTTAACACCTTTGTAGGCTCATCACTGCCCAGAGCAGTTTCCTAAACCTTTGGGTCCCTGTCCTTGCAGTTATGGAGCTGATTTTAGACGGTACATAGACCCAGCACTCAAACACATTGAGACCTGTAATAAGAAACTTGAACTCCTTTTGATTCTCTCACACACTTTCCAATTACTTTATAGAGAAGATCTCAGCACTGTGCTACTATGACTTTGACATCTCTCTACCACTTACTTCTCTCCCTTTTTTAATAGAGAGGGAGCCTCAAGCTCAGAATCTTCCAGAGAAGGCTGGAATTTTAAAACCTTGGTTTGCTTTCATTGCATTTATTATTATGGTCACTTTCCATTTATGCCAGTGGTACTGGTTTCTCATTTACAGTAGTTTTGTAAAGATAAAGAAATTAATTTGTATACACACAAAAGTGAGTTTATTTAAAGAAAAAATAAGGCAAATAAGAGATGGTACTTGGATATGCATGAATGTAGGTCATTGTTTGGCAAACAATGACCTATAGGATGAAATGCGATCTGCTCAGCTAGGCACACAGGCCCTTCTAGGTCCTCCTCCTTGGCCACCCTTTCAAGCCACTGAAGGGCTTGTGACTCTCAAGAGGAGTCTCACAGAGCCACACCTCCAAGCCTTAGTCCACCCTCTTCCTTCTGCCTGGATGCCCTTTTCCCCCAACCTGCTTAGCAACCTGGAACAATCCCATTCATTCATTTTTTTTTGAGACGGAGTCTCACTCTGTGGCCCAGGCTAGAGTGCAGTGGCGCAATCTCGGCTCACAGTAACCTCCGCCTCCCGAGATCAAGCGATTCTCCTGCCTTAGCCTCTGGAGTAGTGGGGATTACAGGTGCCCGCCACCACGCCCGGCTAATTTTTGTATTTTTAGTGGAGACGGGGTTTCACCATGTTGGCCAGTCTGGTCTCGATCTCCTGACCTCATGATCTACCCACCTCGGCCTCCCAAAGTGCTGGGATTACAGGCATGAGCCACCGTGTCCGGCCAATCCCATTTATTCTTAAAGACCCCTGTTACTATTTACTGGGGCTACTGTTTTGCTTAACTATTCAGGTATTTCCAGTGCACCTGGCAAACCATTTCTGTGTTCTCTCAGGCCACTCTTTGTGGGTTGCTGACAGGATGGCCTTCCCTTGGAGGGCTGAGATTCCAGAAGGCCAGGACGGTCCTTCTTCTCTGTCTGACACAGATGCTCAGTGAGCACAAGATGACCTGAAGGGACCCTAGCTGGGGGATGTGGATCATCAAATACAAACCACTGGGAGCTACGTGCCGTGGGGCCCAAAATGTGGGAGACTGAGGAATTCTAAAGGAAGGGAAAGGAGTGATCTCCAAGGGTAGGTGCAAGCCCAGGGATTCTTTCAGGAGAGAGGAGGCCAGTGAGCATCCCGGGATAGAAAGATCCGGCAGAGGCCCGGAACAGAGGGCCTGGCAGGCCTAGGTTCTCAACTGTAACTTGCATTTGAATCACCTCAGTACTTGTTATTGTGACAGTTCCCAAGTCCCACCCCGAAAACTCTGGCTCAGTGGGTTTGAAGTGGGCCCATGAAGATGCATTTTAAAACAAGTGCTTTGGGTTATGCTGAAGCAGGTCATTTGAAGGCCAGGCTGTGAGAAGCAACGGGCCACAAGGTGTCAGGGAAGGATGGAGATATATAGAGGCCTCACAGTCAAAATGCAGGAATTCACACAAATTGCAAAGATCCTCCAGAACATTGCATCACTGACTGAGGACCAAGAGGCTGGAAACACAGCCTACCAGACAACAAGCTTTGTGCCAAGGTTATCGAAAATACATCCCAAATAATTCCATGGAGATGCGTTTAATGAGGTCGATACGGACGTGATCACAGGCATCCTATAGGTGGGAACTTGAAGGAACCATGTGAAATACAGAACCTCCTTTGGAGAGACCTTATCAAGTAGCAATTGTAAACAGGGAACTTTACCATGTAGAGGTCAGGGCTGAGGCCATTTCTGGCTAAAGAAACGCTCCTTTGTTTGAATGACGGCGCAATCAAATTGTTCAGAGATGAAATTGTCCAAGGCAAACAAGTCACAGAGAGGATTCAGCAGAATTCGGTGCACATAGCTGAAAGGCATCTTGTAACTTTGCTCCCAGAGCATTGACTTTGGTTCTACCCTAACTGCCTCCTTAAATGTAAATTCTAATAGAGAAATAGAACTGTGTGTTGGGGGAGGGGGGCTATTTAAGACCAGTCCCCAGCAGCTGCCCCCTTTAAAGATCTGGCCTTCAGAACAATCCAGGCCAAGTCACTCATCAAATGGAGATTGACTTTTATCTGATTAACTGATGGAGAAACATCCTTCTCCATCTCGCAGGAGCGTGCTGTGGGAAAGGCGTTTTGCAGACTGCAGGGGAAAGTTGGGCCTTGGCTTCCCTCCTGCTTGGACAGTGGAAAATTACCAAGAAGGCAGGGCTGCCCTCGGCCACGCTCACTGGATCTTCATGGGCCCAGGAAAACACAAAAAGAAACCTGAAAATGGAGTGAGCCATTACCTACCTGGGGCGGAGAGAAGTCTGGGAGGCGGTGGGGGCGGGGGCGGTGGGGGCAGCGGGGGAGGAGGCCGGCACTGGCAGACGTGTCGGCAGCTGTCAGTCACTTTGGAGCAGGACTTCTGGGGCTCACCGTGCGTCACCTGTAAACATGGGCACACGTACCCAACAGAGGGAGAAGACCATAAGGCAACTAGAAGCTGAAACGAGCCCAGGCCACCCTGTCTCCTGCCAGGCTGGGACTTGGGATTCCTCTCCAAGACCAAGGCAGGAAGAATCGAAGTCAGATTGGTTCAGGGGGACAATGTTGTTGGCGGCTGGCCTGGCTGGTTGGAGACCAAGGTTTTCTTCCTAGCTTTGCCAGAAACCCTGGGCAAGTGACCTGGATATGAATGAGAAGTCGACAAGAACTTGAAGGTTAACTGGTAGAATTTCCCCATTGTACAAATGGGTAAACTGAGGCCCAGGCAGAAGCAGCTGCCCGAGGGTCTCACACTTGGAGAGTGAGACCCTTTATTTCCTCTGTAATCTAAGCCCAGCCGCTTCTCCTGTCTTCCTTGCTACGGCCCAAGGCCAAGCCCTGGCCTTCTCTCCAGCCCTCACTCCTCACCGCCTTTTCGTGTCTACTCTGGGGCAATGCCCCCCTCTCTTGGGGAGAAACCTCATCCAGTGAGGCCTCTGCTCCTGTGTCCCCACGTGACCGGAGAGAGCAGAACAACCTGCCTGATGCTCTCCACTCGATGTCCTGGTGGTCTTGTGGGAAGGGCACCACCTCCATCCCCCCAGCAAGCCCCAGATGCCACCTCACCCCTCGTGGGATCATGTGGCTTACAAGGTCTGCAAGGGGTGATCCCTGACAACCTCTCTGGCCCCGCCTCACCCCATGCTCTCTCCCCGCCATGCTCACTCCCCGTCTCTCTGCCCTCATTCTCTCCTTTCAGTTCCAGGCCCCTGGCCTCTGCAATTGCTGCTCCAGTGGTGGTAATGTTCTCCCATCCCTACCCCTGCTGCGCCCCTGACTCCGCTTGGCCATGACCTCACAGACGTGTCTCTGATCTCTTTATCCAGCCAGATCCTTTTGTATGGGCTCTCCTGGCACCAGGTTCCCCTCGAGGGGCAGAAATCTACATTTGGATGTCACCTGGTTCATACCTATTTTCACCATGGCACTGTGAGCTCGCTGAGGGCAGGGCAGGCTTTGTTTCTCCTCTCTCACTATCATAAATCACCACGTAAGGGAATGCCCACCATTAAATCTTTGGTGAATGAATGAATGAATATGAAAAACTGGGCCACAATCCATGCCTCTTGAACCCTGGTGTGGTGTTTTTCCAGCACAATCTCAGCTTCCTCATCTGTCAACGAGGAAGGGTAGCCGGAGTGAGCTGGGCTCCACCAGCAGTTCCCAGCCCTGGCTGTACATTGGAATCTCCCTGGTGGTTTTAAAAAATACCCATGCCTGAGCCACATCGATTAAATCAGAATTTTGCAGGTGAAGCTGGGCCTGGGGATTTTGCTTAAGCTTCCCACGTTAAACTTCTTATGCAGAGCCAGCATGGGAACTGGGTGGATGGATTAGACTGACTGCCAGTGTCCCTCGCTATACAGAGTGCCATAAATCCAAGAGTCTGGTGTTTCATGCCTGTCCCGGGGAACAAGCTGGTTTAAAAGCACAAAGAGTTGCCAGTCACCCTCCACCTCCTCAATGGCCACAGTTAATTTCTCTGTCATCTCTGAGCCACTAGAAACTAGAACTCCACTTTCCCTGCAACTAGCCATGTGTGGCCTGCCTTTGAATGCTGATCCAGCCCCTCTGCCACGTGGCAGGGAGATCCCCCGGGGCTGGGAGGCTCCCATCACACCTGGAAGATGTGAAGAAGTAATGTGGGTAACGTCCACTGGGGTGGCAGCAGGAAGTGGGCTGATTTACAGCCCTGGCTTAATATCTACGAGGCTAAGAGGCTGCTGCTCATCACCTTTTAATGTTTTTAAAGGGCCATTGACTGCGTTTCAAACCCTGGAAGGCAATCTTCTCTCCCACTGGGAAGAGCATACCGTCAGATGGTGGCCTCTGCTCAATTATTTTACAGAAATGATTAACTCCTTACATGTCAGTGGGAAATCCACCGGCTTCTAGACCAGTGCCATTGTTAGACGTCCCATCATTGAGCCTGTGCCCCCCTAGATTCTGACCTTCCGAGACCCTGGGATTTGCTAGAAAGCTTCATTCTCCTAACAGCTGGCCTCCGAGCCCACTTCTTCAATGCACTCTACCAAGTGTGTGAACTTCAAGCAAGACCATTGCCAGTGCAATTATTTTCTCAGTCTCAGGTGCAATTTATGAGAGAGAGTTCAAGAGGAGCACATTTGGCCCGACACAATGACCTATTTTTGTGAGAGGATATGAAGGCACAGATGTATAAGGATATTTAATGTGATGAAGTTCTAGGCAGAAAAATCAGGGCCAAATTTCAAGGCTGCAGGAGGAAGAAGTGAAGGAGCACACTACATTTAAAACATTGATAGTTCTTGCCTGTAATCCCAGCACTTTGGGAGGCCGAGGCGGGTGGATCACCTGAGGTCAGGCGTTCGAGACCAGCCTGGCCAACACGGTGAAACCGTGTCTCTACAAAAAAATGCAAAAATTAGCCGGGGTGGTGCACGCCTGTAGTCCCATCTACTCAGGATGCTGAGGCAGGAGAATGACTTGAACCTGGAGGTCAAGGCTGCAGACAGCCAAGGTCATGCCACTGCACTCCAGCCTGGGCGACAGAGCAAAACTCCAGTCTCAAAAAATAATAAATAAATAAATACATTAATAAAATTGATAGCTCTGGCCAGGTGCGGTGGCTGACACCTGTAATCCCAACACTTTGGGAGACTGAGACAGGCGGATCATTTGAGCCCAGGGGTTCAACATCAGCCTGGGCAACAGAGTGAGACCTCATCTCCACAACTTTTTTTTTTTTTAATTAGCTGGGCATGGTGGCACATGCCTATAGACCCAGCTACTCCAGAGGCTGAGGCGGGAGGATTGGAGGATTGCTTGAGCCCAGGTGGTTGGGGCTGCAGTGAGCTATTGCAGTGCACCACATTCCAGCCTGGGCAACAGAACAAGACCCTGTTTCAAAAAAAAAAAAAAAAATCAGTGGTTCTCAGTCTCTTATATAAGGGCCTCTCTGAAATGTGAGCAGGCACAATTGCTTAGCCAACTGTTCTCACGAAAGGATCAAGTCTGGTCTGTCCTTATGCCTGACAGCTGGGCCTCCACTGCTGTGTCCTGATAGTTTGGTCTAGTCCAAGCCTATGGTGTCTGAGCCTGCCTCGACTCTGGGTTACTCAGGCCCCATATCCACTTGCTAGCTTCTCTCCATCCTTCACATCCATTTCTTGAACAGCCTTATTGCGTGTTCATGCAAGAAAAGGACTGAGATTTCTCTCTCTCCTCTTTTTGAGACAGGGTTTTGCTATGTTGACGAGACTGGTCTCAAATTCCTGGGCTCAAGCAATCCTCCTCCTTGGGCAAAGCCATCCTAAACCCTCCTCCACCCCAAATTAGACTCACCTGCTCAGTGCTGCTGCTTTATTCTGCAAACACTTCTGTCTGGGGCATTTCCGTGCTATTTTGTAATGCGTGTTTCTCTACACTAAGTTGTGAGTGTCTTAGGGCAGGCAGGTAGATGAGTACTTTATTAATCCTGAACAATCATGATTTTCTGAGCCTTACTATGTGTCCATCATAGGTTCTTGCTCCCATTTCGCCCTGGGCATAACCGGGAGAGATAGGTGATATCATCCACTCTTAACAGGTGGCCCGCAGGCTCAGCGAAGCTAAGTGATGTACCAAAGTTGCCCAAGGCCCAGCATTCAGTTGGCGTTCAGTGAAAAGGTGCAATGCCCACCAGCGGAGAAACATGGGATCTGTCCCATTCCCCAGTGCTGGTTCCACTTGGGGGTTCTGTTGATTGGCAGTGTTGTATTTAGACCAATAGAGAGGAAGCCTCGGGTGTCCGGAGCTTGTCTCAACACCTGGCATTTGGTTTCTATCTTGGGGAATTTCAAAAGGAGAAGGAACTTGCCCCTAAAGTAACCTGCTCTTAGCTGGACTTCGTTAAGAAGGAGCAGAGGCCCAGAAAGGTTAGTGACTTGCCTAAAGCCCATAGAACACAGGCTGGTATTGGTACTTCCTGGGACCACTTCTTATTCCAGTTTCACCATCATCTGCCTTCCAGGCCCTGTTCTGCAGTGTTCTCCTGCAGCCAGAATCCTGTAAGTGCTGTAGGCTTGAGAGTGGGCTGAGGCACAGGTAATGTCCTGGAGTCTCCTGGATTTGGTACCTGTAGCAGGGGTCTGAGGGACACAGTGTTCCCAGCATCAGTTCCCTCTTCTCCAACCACCGTCCTACTCCTGGCCAATCAGTGTCCTACCACCGTCCTACTCCTGGCCAATCAGTGCAGTTCTGGGTCCAGCAGACGTTGCCTCCTAAATCGTCCTTGAATCCATCTACTCCTCTGTTTCCTTTGCTGCCACCTGAACAAGGCCACCATCAGGTCTCCAGTGGGCAGTACCTGCCTCTCATCTAGGGTTGCTAGATAAAATATAAGACACCCTATTACATTTGAATTTCAGATAAACAACCAATAATTTTAATTGGGAGAGTTATTACATGGGAGAGATACTAGGAAAACAATTTGTAGTTTATTTGAAATTCAAAGTTAACTGGATGTCCTGTATTTTATTTGCTAAATCTGGCCACCCTCCCCTTACCTACCTCTTTGCCCCTGCCTTGCCTCCTCCCTGCATCCATCCTTCATGCAGGAACTGGACTGAGATTTCTCTTTCTCTTTTTTTTTTTGAGACATGGTTTCACTATGTTGGCCAGGCTGGCCTCGAATTCCTGGGCTCAAGCAATCCTCCTGCCTTGGCCTCCCAAAGTGTTGGGATTACAGGTGTGAGCCACTGCAACCAGCCTGGACTGAGATTTCTAAAATACCAACCTGAGATTGTGTCATCTCTTACTTAAAACCCTTTACTTATAATGACATCCATAGCCCTCAGGATCAAGTCCAAACTGCAGGACACTATGTTAGTGGCTTACAACAGTGGCCTTACCTGGTGCTTCTTTCCCCTGGGTCTTCCAAAGTCCCTCTCTCCTCTGGCCTGGGGCTGTTCCCTCTGCCTGGACACCTCACCCTCATATGCATCCTAACTTCTCATCCTTCATGTCTCAGCTGAAGCACCACACCCTTCAGGCTTCTATGACTCTTGCCCCTAGTTCAAGTTATTTCTTCTTGCTGAGCTCTCTTGATGATAATTACTTGTTTAATTAGCTCTACATTGCCAAACTATCAGTGCCACGAGGGAAGAGGCCACTAAGCTCCTTGCACTTAACAAAGGGCCTGGCATACAGTAGGCGCCCAATAAATGCTGCCGAATGACTCATCAAAGCTGCAGAGACTGACTATACAAGGGGTTCAACATCACTTGGGTCTGGGGTGGCTCCTCGTCAGCACACAGAGACCCGTAAGGCCAGATAAGAGGCGGTCTCTCTAACTATTGCTTTAGGAAGGCAGCCACAAAGACGATAGCTTCTGGCATCTTTCATGGAGACAGGCCAGCACCACGGTAACTTGATGAGACACACTCCTGTCACACCTAATAAATTTGCCAGCCTGTCATCCTCTTCCCTTGCAAAAAAAAAAAAAAAAAAAAAAGAATAATCTGGAAGTGAACTTAGAAGAACCCTAAATCACACTACATCACAAAAGCTCGAAATCTCAATTCCAGACACATGAAAGAACAGGGGGGAAAGGCTAAGGAATGCTCCCACCAACCCTTTCGGCAATTTAAATGTCGTCTGACTTTAATGATTAAGCTCCTTATCAACTAACAGCAGCCAGAGGCTTAAAGCTGATTGCAAGGTAAGAACCTGGTGCTTTGGGGGACCCCAGGTCTCTTGCCTCATTGAGGATCCCATTAATCACAGGACTTTGTTATGTTGGCCTTGTCCTTCCAAATGTTCTTCTGGCAAAACGCTCATGGAAAGGCAGATAGCTCTGAGTTTGTTCTCCAGATTAGAGAAACTCCTATGACGTGACAGATTTTATTTTCCCCACTTAAAGAGAAACACATGGCTTCGTGCATTTCCATTTTTCCTCTTCTCTCCTATGTTCCCCCGGATTTAGCTCTTTTGCTTAAAGCCAGATCCATTCATTCCAAAACCCCTTTCCCTTGATTTCTCTGTCCCTATCATTTGTAAATTAATTTTTCCAGAGCCTTAAGCCAAGGTTTTACCCATTCTACTTGTCTGGAGGGTTCCTTTTGAAATTGATTTTTATGAAAATTGATTTGTATTGAGTAAGAGCATCTGAAATACACACACACATACACACACACACCCCTGCACACACACACACACACCTGCTTGTGTAAGTACTGCCTGGCTAAAGGACACTTACAAAACTGAACCGCTTTCACAAAATTATTTCTTCTGGGAGGAGTGCGGGGTGCTTATGGGTCTTTTGTTTAGATCCTACTAGCTCACACAGTAGAATTCTAGTCTTGGAGACTGACAACCTCATTATGTTGCTTCCCACCCCAGCTGAAGAAGTCTTATGGAAGAGAGAAAACTGTAAACAAATGAATCTAAAAACTAAGTGAACTCAATATCTGAGGTTCAGCTAAAAGTTGAACAAGGGAAGCTGGTCCCAAGCCACTGAAGTGTTTAGAAGTGACAAAATTGTGTTTCCTGAGGAGACACAGCTGAGTTTAATAACTGCTGTTTCACACATTAGACAAAGCTGTCAATTCCAAAAGGAAAACAATTGTGAGTGAGATGGAGGCAAGCCAGAGAAGAGAGCAGAAGACGGGGCCTGGGAGTGGGGGTGCTGAGCAGCGTCAGACCCCGGCTCTCGATGGGCAGTCACCCAGGCCATCATCCAGGCAGGACTAACTGAGCAAGCTCCCGGCAGGGCCCATCATTTGGGGCAGCTCGGGGATCTCGATAGACTGGCAAGTGGTCTTGCCGCCTTCTCCTTTTTTCTTGGTCTGTCACCCCTACTCAGAGCAGCCATGTGAATGGTCCCCAAACCCCAAAATGCCACCAGGAGAACATGAGGCTACAAATACCCGCGAGTGGATCCACAATGCCCAAAACAATGAAAATGTCCTCCAGAGCCTGCAGAAAAAAATGTCAAACAGACCACGCAGTGATCAACAGAGTACCTGGTCAGCCAGGCAGAAGAACGGCAGTACTATTACTCCTATCAGCGATGGTAGCAACCACTACCGGTTAGTGTTCATCATGGTCCTGGCACTGCGCCAAGTAATCCTTACATATCTCATCCAGTACTTAGAATAGTATAGTCAGGAAGAAGAAACTAACTCTCAGAGAGGGTAAGTGAGTTGCCTAAAGCCTCCCAGCTGGTGAGGGACAGAGCTGAAGCTCAAATTCCGGAGCTGACATCGAAGTCCACCTTGTCACCTCTCCACTGTACCAGTGACCATGCACATTCTGGGGGGGACTAGGGACCATACCATTGAACCCTGTCTCTGATCCTAAGACGTAACTCCAGTTAGTGACTGCCTGGCCTCTGCCCTGCGATTTAAGGGGCACAGGGTGAGAGATTCAACCCTGGGCAGTCCTGACAGATGGGCCACCACGCATTATCTGTCCACAGCCTCAACTCTGATACCTACAAGGAACACAGTTGCCTTCTGTGTTGAAAACCAGTTTAAGAAAGGTAATTTGAAGTTCATCAGTGGTTCTGGCGGGAAAGAAATAATATACATCCTTGGGATGACTTTTCCTTGTAAGTTTGTTTCTTTCCTGAATTTCTACCCTAGAATGCTATCATCGGAAGGTATTCTCTGAGCCCCTTTCCATTCCAAGACCCGCCCCGGTCCTGCAGGCTTTAGGCCACAATTGAAGCCTCTCTTTGGAGTTTCTTGTCTTTTCAGGGGTAGGGTATGGGGTACCATAGCAGCTTTTCTTTTCCCAAGCTTTTCCGAGAACCAATCAGTGGGGCGGCTGCAGGAAGCCAGGGTCTCAGGAGGGAAGGGGCAGCTCTCCCCTCACCCAGGAGGTCCTCCCAGCCAGTGCGCAGCCGGCGCGTCTCACCTGCACGAAGCCCCAGAGCGGGTGGAGCGCGCAGTGCAGCAGCAGCGAGGACCAGCAGCAGCCACGGCCCAGCACCAAGTCCCGGAGGAGCATCTCGGCCAGCGACGCCCGCTCCTGGGGCGAACTGTCAGGAGAGCAAGGCTCGGGTCAGGCGGACACCGCGCGGGCACTTTCGCCGCCGCGCACCAATATACCTCCCATCCCGGATCGGTCGGGCACGCCCCGCACCCAGGGGCACCCTACTAAACCAAGCCTGCACTTACACTCCAGCTTACACCTTCATTGACTCTTCGTAAATCCCAGAATTCACACTCTTTTCTTAGGCATATCCCCAGAACCCCGCACGTACACTTTAGCTCCGCGCACAGCTCCAGAATATGCGTGCATACCTTGGCCCCATGCACACCTCCAGAAACAGCCAAGCACACTTATTGCGCCCCATTAACCCCTAGAAGCAGCCATGTACAACTCACTCTCACTATGAGCACACTTCAAACCCGGCGGGCACTACTCACCCTGTGCGCACACCCACAGAAACAGCCGTGCACACCCACCGACTCCTGCCTGCACCCTCGCTGACCCTGCATGCACGGCACCAAGAAATCTCACGCTGCGTGCACCCTCACTGCCCAGCCGGCCTCATTGCGCACACTGCAACATAGGCACCTCCGTGCGCTGCCCCTTTGCACGCCCCTGCCCAGCCCCGATCCCCCGCTCCCGGGCGTGGGTTCCCCCCACGCCTCCATCTCCGCCCGCACCCTTCTAACGCCTCACGCCACCTTGCCTGGCGGCGGCCCCAGCCGATCCTCAGCTCTGGGAAGAGAGGTCCGCGTCCCCCCCGCGGCAGCTCTGTTTCCCAGCCGCCGGACAGCCCCCATTTAAAGCCAGCCGCCTCCCCAGTCCCCCGCCCTCTAGGCG